TTTGAATTTCATAAAAGCCTGATGGGAGTATATAAGAAAAATAATATTTAATAGGCCTCACTATATTAGAAAATGACTATTCATTATAAACAATCATCCATCCATGCATTGGTATTCGATATGTGTAATTCTTATTAATTGAGAAAATATAGTTAATGACGTGTTTGCTTTGACTATGACTATGTTCCCCACCCCTTCCTCAGTCTGGAAAGTAAATATAATGTTTACTCTTCAGTCAAACAAATTAATGTATAAAACAGTAGTCAAAAAATAGTCGGAAACCCCAAAGTAACTTTCAAAATATTGTACTTTATTTAGTATTTTTCCACACGAACTTCAAATACTTTCACAAGCAAATGAGAGTTAGGTAATGACGAGGATAACTTCCATATTGATATACCTTAAAATCCCGGATTTATGATGATGAATGAGAAAACAAAAATCATCCATCCATGGACCTATTAATAAGATCCATCCAACTGTTAGTGACCCAGGCACTGTCTGTGTAAAGGTATTTGCACCCACATTATAATCAGGGGCGGATCCAGGATTTGAAAGAGGGTGGTTGAAAATGGAAAATTTATGATTCCTAGGCCGGAAATGAGCTTTCCCGACTTCTAAGCTAGGTTCATATGGGATTATAGCCAGATGAAGTAGCTGATCTACTTGCCAAGTTAATTGGATTAAATCCACTAATCGCGTTCGACGTTAAGGTTTAGAGCGAGATATTTTGACTACCAGAAATTCGGAAAACACATCAGTAGACAGGAAGTACAATCGCATGGTGGGCAATTACTGTTGATTTTCGCGCGACTAGTTTATGCTAGATCGAGACTATAGGCGTAAGCTGGCCTAGGTCTCGGCGGTTGATTAGACTGGCCAGAGTCCAGCTGGAGGGTTTACACTGGTTTTTCCCCTAAGTATTTCGTTTAGTGCGTGGTAGTGTGGGCATGCTGATTTTGGGTCATCCCTTATTACTTTGGCTGACCCCTTGCCCGTCCCACGAATAAAAACGTCCCTCACAGCCTTGTGTTGTGCTCTTAGATTTTTCAACTTTGTCACAACAATTGCCGATGTTATGCTATTGTCCCGCCTTCTCTCTGCTATCCTTTCGTGGACACCAGCCTTCTGACGATACAATTTATCTTCAACTTTTTCGGCGATTTCTGGCTCCCTCCAGATATCTATTTATTCCTGCGCATACGTTTCTTTACTGACTTTTTGGCCATCATTTGCAAAATAAGACTTGTTGAAATTAAAGTACACAGATCAGGGAGACTGCGTCAATTCTGAATGGTGTTTATGACAGTAACTAAAAAACACGCTAACCAGCGAGCATGGAAGGTCACTTTGCTTCAATTTGATTGGTGTATTCGTGACCTGTGGCCACCCGCTGTTTAATTGTTTACTGGCTTTAGGCTGGATTAAGAAGTTAGTCGACATAAATTTAGTCTCTTATACACATCTTTAATGAAAATGTTGATAAACCCCCCAAA